CCCAAGGCAACTCTGAACTTTGAATGAACTGTAAATGCTGCCTTCAATCTAGAAAATACTATTGCAAAACGGTTGGAAATAATACATTTAACAGCAGAATACATCCTAGCAATAAAATAAAGTGACTTCTAAAGACTAAGTGTTTTTTTGCCGAACTTCGCATACGGTGCCTACCGTGGCAACAACCGAAAACATGTTACTTGTTTTTTGAGTGGAGCCGATTGCAAACCAGCCCACCGGCTTGTTTTAGTATAAGCTAGTAACAACTTGTCAATAATTATGGGATGATTTGTAAGCATAAGATTGTTATGTGAACTTGGTTCATTAATGGAATACTGTGCAATGATGCTATTTTCAGGGCCTAACCGATTCTGACTCCTATATCGACTATGTCCTGGGCTGTTTACTAGTACCAACCTACTTACTTGTCAGTGTCTAACTGTTATATACAGCCCAGAACACGTCAGAATAGTAAAAAAAAAGTCAGAGCCGGCCACAGAACCAAAACAATCTGTCAGCCTTTGCTGCCCACAGCATCGATATGATTTTATATTGCATAGAAATGAACACTAAATGCAGCTATCCCGGTCAGCAATCGAATCATCAATCTTAGTGGTCCATATGTGAATGTTGTCAAGTTCGAGAGTGTGTTTTAACGTAATCATTATTGCTACAATTTTGGGCTTGAACATCTTCTATATTCACCCAAAACAACAACAAACCTGAAACAAAAGCAACCGTCTGATCTAAACAACCTGAGTCTATGAAAATCGAGTCTTATCTCCTTTGCGTTTCAGAAAGTCAGGGCCAATCTACCATGATTGTTTGCTTATCATCAATTCACAAAGGTCAAAAATGTTTTTAAACATGAATTTAACGACGAACGTTTTTGGAACAAACTTGAGGGACTGTAAAACGCAATTTATGATATGCGACTTAAAAACGCAATTTATACGTGAATTTCCCAACAAAGGTTTGAATGTTTTAGTTGTATCTGGTGTGGCACTGGCGTGGAAAGTGGTTGAATAAAATGGCGAAAACCTTCGAATGCATTGTTATGCTAATTTGATTTCCAGCATGTTCGTTGACAAAGAAAAGAAAGATTTCTTGAATTTTCGGCAATAGCTACGTGGATTTGAACCAAAATGTTATCGCAAGACTCAGAATATGACAGTGACAGCCACTGAAACGTAATTGAAGGCAAATGAACACGTCAAGCAAAAAGGACTTTTTCCAGTAAAATGGAGGCACATACCATTTTGACTCTTGAGAGGAAAGGAAATCAGTTGATTTAAGGGTGTCACAATAATCAAGGGAGCAAATCATTTTTATGCTACGAAAAAAATGCAGACTTTGAACGTACTTTTTGGACTTTAGTACTACGTCATTTTTGTTTGATTACCTAACGTTTTTATGTTCATGATCTGTAAGTAACAGAGCATATACCTAAGCGGCAATCCCTCAGCAAATAATGAAGCAAAGGCATTTTCGATGTTGAAATTGCGAAACTCGCCCTTTTTACGCAAACTGGGAAGTTTGAATTACTAAACGAAGTACAGGACTACGAAAATAAAATATCCAAGAATAACACATACCAACAATTATATCATAAAAGTGAATATTCGTGGTGTATTTTAGGTCTAACCGGACCATAAGTGGAAATTTGTTAGTACTCTAAATATTCAAATATATTTTAGTATAAGGTAGTAATAATTACTATTGATTGGTTTATTTGTTTCATGGCAACATGGCATGCTACATTGTTCTGTCAAGAGCAGGAAAATGAGTCGTAATTAGGGGTTATCAAAGAAAACTAACTGACTACAGCCATGATAATTGGGAAGGTGTGAATTAATTATTTAACATTGTTAAATCTATCAGATTAGGAATGATAGCGTCATTCTTACTCTTTATGCCCACACAAATATGTAAATGTTGAAACTAATAATTATCACTACAATTTATTTTCAGATATTGGTTTTTCTGTCTAGTCTTGTGGCATTTTCAGTTAACCTTTCCATCTATTGGATTATTGGCAACACTTCTCCAGTCACGTATCCTTTTTACTTCCCTTTCAAACATGTTCAGAAGACAGTGGGTTACATGTATGTTTGGTTTCCACCCATGCTTTTGTGTAGCTAGAGTGATTTTCCAGATGTACCTTGCACTGGTTGTATAAAAAATTGGTATGTAGACAAGACATGTACAAGGACATGCCTGGACTGACTGTATTAAAAATTGGTATGTAGAAAAGACGTGTACATGGACATCCCTGGACTGACTGTATTAAAAATTGGTATGTAGACAAGACATGTACAAGGACATCCCTGGACTGACTGTATTAAAAATTGGTATGTAGACAAGACATGGACATGTCTGTACTGACTGTATTAAAAATTGGTATGTAGACAAGACGTGTACATGTCTGGGCTGACTGTATTAAAAATTGGTATGTAGAAAAGACATGTACATGCCTGGACTGACTGTATGTATACTTTTGGGCATATTCTTGTAATATTTATGGATGTAATGACATGCTTCATATTCTTTAACTTGATATCATTAGATACAACATGGTTGGTCATTTTAAGTTTTGTCTGACTTTGCTGGGTGGTTATTTCCTGTTTGATGACCAACTCCAAACTAATCAATTACTTGGCATAGGCATGACGTTAACTGGCATCATTTTGTACACTCACTTCAAAATGCAAGAAAGAGAACTTCCATCAAGAACAGTTATTAGAGCTTAGCATAGTAAATGAACCCATGTTTGTAGGCTCTAGTTGACCTCAATGCATCCGTGCCCAACGTATCTTGTGTTCAAACTTTACGTATACATCACATCCAATCCAATTCAAGATGGCCAAATGGCAGCCACTTAACGTATGAAAGCAACAAAATTAATAGACCTCAGCCATGCATATAGAGATACAGAAAACTTTGCACATACATTGAATATAATAGGACCATGATGCACATCATATTGTTTTTATGATCAGATTTAAAATGGCTGACTAGTTGCAATTTTGTTTTAAAGTGAATGCTGCATACTTCAGACATGTCTGAACCGTTCATGTCCAAACTTTCACACATCATGGTATACACCTGCATATGCATTTGTTTCCAATCCAATTAAAGAATCCTGAATGGTGTATATTTAAAAGCTTAAATTATATCAATAGTTCAAATGCAACTGATGTCAGTCATGTTTACTATATTGCATGATAAGAACTGTGTGTTGTCAATGACTGGTTAATTATTTAATTTTTGTTAGCCTCAATGGAGAAGCAACTGCTCAATGGCTTTTATGAATGTTAAAAAATTGCCTTATGGGGCATGTACTGTGAACAAAATAAATAGAATATATTATTTGTTATATCATTTTAATTGCTGAAGATGTAATTGTGATTGAGTGAAAGCATATTTAGCTCTGCTGTCATAGTATATAGCATGGCTGGTCATATAAGTGATTGTCCGTCCATCAACAATTTTCCATTCTCTTCCTAAAAACTACCAGCTCAACTGCTGAAATTTATGTTTAGTATGTACCAGTAGGTATTTTGAAGTGGACCTCTGTCGGATTTGTTCATTTTGTGACAATATCTTCAATTCTCTACTTTTTGTGAATATTTTTGCCATTATTTAGGTTATTTTCGACTTCTTCTTGAAAACTGCTACTCTATTTGCTTTGATATATACTTGATATCCCTCTGTGACTTTGGGGGAACTTTCAAAGCTCTGCTGAAACAGTGGAACTATTTCACTTGACTTGTTTAGAAGTAGGGTTTATTTGAAACTATGTTTCAAGGCATATCAGTATTTCTGTTACCAAAAATAAATGTGGACCTTGTAGTAAATACAGGTACGAATTTTTACCATCACTTTGATGTATTCATGTATGCTGGTTCATTTAACCAAGGTTGAACGTTTTTAATGGTGTGTCACATTATGTTTTTTTGTTATTTCCATGTATCAGAATTGCATTTATAATGAAGTTGGTCTGTATAATGTACAGTCAATGCAGTCAAGTATACCCCTTGATATTGCACAATTCACTCCATACTGATGTATTAACTTGCCTGTGCCTGTATGATGTGAATTGTGTATCTTAAGGTATACTTGATTACAGCGGTGATTTATTTTATTAAATAATACGGTATTATTTGTTTCCATGAACAAACTGTCAACTTGTAATGTACATTATTTGAGGTATATTATGATCATTACTTCAGTGACAGATTATTGTATGAAATTGGCAAAGTATTCAGTTCAGGCGAAGCCTGAAAGGGGAATACTCGTTTTACTTTCTTCCTCATTTTCAAGTTGCTGCAAGTTATCTCCAACATTTTCTCAGAAACTCTGCAGCAAATGTCAATGAAACTTGGCAGGTTGATGAAAAAGGCTGTGTTACATATGCACGTAATTTTTTTTCCAGATCTGAAAATCCTAAGTGGTTTTTTTTCAAGATTTTCATTCAAAATTACCTCTCTCTACTACACTGACAGAGCAACTGAGCATGCTCAGAATAATTGATTCTGTTAAATTCAGATTCAGATTCATGAATTCCTGATTTCTGATTCACAAGTTTTACCAAATGTATTTGATCTGTAGTGTATAATTTTCAGAACTCAGAACCAACTTTACAGAACCTCAGAACCAAATTTCAAAATACAAGCTTCGTTATCATCGAAAGACATCTTTTAGGTTATTATTGATATGACCATACCCTACCCAAAAAATATGCAAATTAGCTAAATCCAGTTACTGTGAAATACTTTATTTTCACTTGGAATTAATTTTCACTATTTTCGCAAAACACCCAAAACGTCTTTTCAGCGAAAATTAATTACAGCTAAAATAAATTATTTTACAGTACTTCCTTTGATCTCAGCAACCATTGAGCTGATTCTGTTCATATTTGGTAGGATTACACCTTGACACGAGTAGATGTGCTTCTGACAGTAATGGCCACACCCTTACAAAAATATGCAAATTAGATCAATGCAGTTATTAGTCCCCGTTCGGACGCAGTCCGAAAACGGGGACTTATGTTTTGCCCTGTGTGCGTCCGTGCGTCCGTGCTTCCGTGCGTCCGTGCGTCCGTGATCACCTGTATCTCGAACATGCATGGACCGATTGAGTTCAAACTTCACTCATACATCACACATTATATGGGACATATGCACATGCATTTTTTTCATGATCCGATTAACGATAGCCGAATAGCGGCCATTTTAAGGCCGAAAATGCATCAAAATCGCACATTTTCACCATTCCGGACCCGGATCTCAGTTATGCATGGACGGATTTTGTTCAAATTTGGTACATACATTAAACATAATAGGACCTTGATGCACGTCATTTTTTTTTTTGGATCGGGTTCGAAATGGCCGACTGGCGGCCATTTTGTTTTAAAGAATTCAGTTCTGGATCCGTATCTGAGACATGCTTGGATTGATCGAGTTCAAACTTCACACACACAAGGTACATCATGTCACAAATATGTATGTGCATTTGTTTCATGATCTCATTAACGATAGCCAAATGGCGGCCGCTTTAAGGCCGAAACTGCATTGAAATCGCACATTTTCACCATTCCGGACCCGTATCTCAGTTATGCATGGATGGATTTTGTTCAAATTTGGTACATACATTAAACATAATAGGACCTTGATGCACGTCTTTTTTTTTTTCGGATCAAGTTCGAAATGGCCGACTGGCGGCCATTTTGTTAAAGAATTCAGTTCTGGATCCGTATCCAAGACATGTCTGGATTGATCAAGTTCAAACTTCACACACACATGGTACATCATGTCACAAATAGATATGTGCCTTTGTTTCATGATCTGCTTAACAATAGCGAAATGATGGCCATTTTAAGGCCGAAAATGCATCAAAATCACGTATTTTCACAATTCCAGAACCGGATCTCAGTCATGCATGGATGGATTTTGTTCAGATTTAGCACAATGTGTTGTACATATGCAGGTGCATTTCGGTCATGATCTGCTTTGAATGTATATGTCACTCAAATATGAACGGAACGGGGACGTGTCATTGACAATGACTTGTTTGCTGCTATCTCTACCACCACAGTGTCAATTTTATTCATATTTGGTTTGATTACACCTTGGCACGAGTAGATGTGCTTCTTACAGTAATGACCACACCCTCCCAAAAATATGCAAATTAGATCAATGCAGTTATTTGCTGCTATCTCTACCACCACCGTGTCAATTTTATTCATATTTGGTATGATTACACCTTGACACGAGTAGATGTGCTTCTGACAGTAATGACCTCGCCCTCTCAAAAATATGCAAATTAGATCAATGCAGTTATTTGCTGCTATCTCTACCACCACCGTGTCAATTTTATTCATATTTGGTATGATTACACCTTGACACGAGTAGATGTGCTTTTGGCAATAATGACCACACCTTCCCAAAAATATGCAAATTAGATCAATGCAGTTATTTGCTGCAATCTCTACCACCACCGTGTCAATTTTATTTATATTTGGTATGATTACACCTTTGCATGAGTCAATGTGCTTTTGGCAATAATGACCACACCCTCCCAAAAATATGCAAATGCAAATTAGATCAATGCAGTTATTTGTTGCTATCTCTACCACCACGGTGTCAATTTTATTCATATTTGGTATGATTACACCTTGGCACGAGTAGATGTGCTTTTGGCAATAATGACCACACCCTCGCAAAAATATGCAAATTAGATCAATGCAGTTATTTGCTGCAATCTCTACCACCACCGTGTCAATTTTATTTATATTTGGTATGATTACACCTTTGCATGAGTCAATGTGCTTTTGGCAATAATGACCACACCCTCCCAAAAATATGCAAATGCAAATTAGATCAATGCAGTTATTTGCTGCTATCTCTACCACCACCGTGTCAATTTTATTCATATTTGGTATGATTACACCTTGGCACGAGTAGATGTGCTTTTGGCAATAATGATCACACCCTCCCAAAAATATGCAAATTAAAACTGCAGTTATTTGGTCTTTGATTTGACCCAGGTCCTGGTAATATACTAAAACCTTAAATAACAAAGAAGTCATATACATCAAAGTTCACTCAGATTTATGAATGCACCTTTTTGAGCAAGTATACATGTATGACAAATAGTTTTGTTGCACTTGTGTACTTGATTCTGAACATGGGTCAGTGGAAGTTTTTAGTTGTCAGTACAAAACTAGATTATGGGGAATCACTTTATGACGAGTTGTAACCACAAAGAGTACATATTCACCTATTTGCAGATGTTCCTTGTACTACTTTATAATCAAATAACTAAGACTGTGACATTCATGTCTTGTTATATCTATATAATTAATGTATTTAAAACTATGTATTCACTTTATAAATTTTGTTACCATTGCGTATCATATTCTTGGCACACAGTGTTGTTTACTCTCTGTGTGTGCATATGCTATGTATGTCATCTGTGAGGCTGTTAGCATTAGTAAATTTGATTGTCTTTTAACCTACTCAACCAACAATTGGATTTGTGGATATAATAGAACTATTGGGCAGTGTTTTAATTATGAGAGAAATGACAAAATAAATAAGTTGATACAAAGGCAGATTAATTAGGAATTTTCAGTTCTACTTGAAACAGTGACTCAAAATAACATGAAACAAGTTCAATTTTATGCATTATGGGAGAGAGTCTTTCATTGTTTATAATGGAATAATATTACCCTGGAAACTAAATTATATATTCAGGTATTTCAGTTTAACCACTTTCTGTGAGAAATGTGAACTGAATTTTGGAATGTATTCATATGGTACAACTCGCCATCTGGTCACAATTACCTCATTACCGTCTTAAATTTACATGTGCATATTTACTGGTTTTATTAGAACTGACTAATTATTATGCAAATTTGGTAATTACCATGAACAGATTTTAATCCATAATTGAGCAGGGTTGTGGATTGTCCTCAAACATCCAAGTTTCATTAAAATCCATTGAATTGTTGCAAATTAGGTAATTGATATGCACAAATTTCAATCAAAAACTAATAAATTATGTACATTATCCCAGGATCTATGCATCAAGAAACCAACCTAACTTTCATGTTCAGTGGAACTGACATACACACACTCTAACTGCAGATTCCCATTGTGTGCTTCACATACAGGCGTCAAAAATGAGCTATGGAAGGTGGAATTAGCGAGATAATTGCATGAAAACTGCAAATTTTGGAAGGTGAGAATATTGCCCGACATGCCATAATCTTAAAAAAATGTGATACGAGAAGGTGTGAATGTTTCAAGAAAAGTCATAAAAGACATGTTCACAAAGCTGCCAAAGATTTGTAATGTCACCTTGGAAAGTTGCCTGAAAAGTCACCAAAGCTTAAGAATGTTCTGAAACGGAATCTGGAAATCCAGAAGAGTATGGGAAAAAAAAATTGGCCTTTTGTCACGATTTTTTATTTATGTTCACAATAACAGTGGAAGTTTTACCCCATATCTTGACACCAAAACTACTACATACATATACATACTGTATTAATCTCATTGACAAGATCGTTTTGAAAGAACTGCACACCAGATTCAACAACTTCAACAGCAATATTTTTTTTAATATTATCAGACTTCAAAAATGTGTTCACATACAACACATTTAAAACAATAACAATCTTATTTGTGCTATCACTACTTTCTCCATTGCCATATGAACTTCACTCCTTTGTTTCCATCCCAGAGTTAGTCCTGTGTCTATGTCTTTATATCATTAAGTACAATACAATAGCAAACAATGAGCTGTAATACAACTTTGAAAAATAAAAATTCATTTTATACACAAATAAATGACCATTTCAACAGCTAAACACAAAAATATTAAAAGGGTTGCATCAAACTTGGTCAATATATTTCGCATTTTAGTTAATTTGCTATAATAGAAAAATTGCCGACGATCAGTTACCTTGTCAATATATTTTTAATCACATTACAACTTATAAACATTTAACCTGGAAGGCCCCCCATGTTACATTCAAATTATCATGATTAATATAAGGGAAACATTCACTCACAGATATACAATGAGTATCTTCACTACAGTTTAGCACTGAACATTTAAATTGTCATGTTGTGCCAAATAAAGACCTTACTGACCAGTATGATATTTTAAACAGTTATTGTCATTTGAGATAGCTTCACTGTCAGCAATGCACATTTCAATTAGAGAATTCTAAATGTCATCACAATAGGAACAAATCTGAGATACGTATTTGTATAATATTAAACTGTCGAAAATATCACTTTACCAAAAATATTCATCGCTAAAAAGTCTATAATCCCTAAGTGAAATTCAGTGTGCACACTTGTGAATATGAATCAGCAATTTTTACATAAATAAGCATTAAAAATGATTTACCTGCAAGAATCCATTCAAAATTATGTAAAACTGATGCTTATTGCTAACAGTAAAACCATGCTAGATACATAAATTATTATGAAAGTGTTGAAACTTATTGCAGGAATCTGATTTCTATATAAGTATTATAAAATGGATATTGTTTAGGAAATTCCTTGTAGATCATGAGAGAAAACGTGAGTTGTAGATTAGTGGAAAATGATTATTACAGGTACCCATACAAGCCGTTTTGAGATGCTTATAAAAAAAGAAGTTGACTAGTTGGCTCCAGCATTTGATGGTGGTTCTCTATCCTGAAATGAGATAACATTCAATCAGTGCTCACTCTTGTGTATATGATGTTGGAACTTCAATAACCAATGGCCACCAGTATGTACAATCTCAGTGCTGTCACCAGACATGAAACATTTGCCTCATACATATTAATTAAATTTTTTGTCCCAGTTTTTTTACACTCATGACAAATTGTTTCACAAAAATGTAAAAAAAATACAAGCAACAATTTAATAATAAACATTTGAGTACACTTTCTCCACTATAAGAGAAACAAAATAGTTCCACATGGATGGGTAATTGTCTCATAAGCTGAAGAATCAATTCCATGTATTTAATTCCTGGTGAGAACACTGCAGTCATAATACTGAGTTTGATTAAAATAGAAATACCAACAAAATCAGGTATAGTGTGTCTGAGATCAAGTTAGAATAATGAAAAAGTAACAGCTGACTGGTAAGACGTATCTAAGACGGATGGACATGCACACACAAGTGAAATTTTAAGTTTGAATGAAGACTAATTTGGTGGTAGTCCATAATCTGTGTTGTCACTGAATTCATGCTTACTTACCATTTGCAAGAAATCAACCAGTTTATTGAGATCATTGCCATGACTCAGATCAATAAAATCTGCCGGCATTCTGTGGAGATGAACGGGATTAGGCAATATACATACAGCAGTCTTAACATATCTCAACAAACCACTCTGTAACAAACAAAAAAAACAAATCTTATAATTTACTGGTAATGTTTTTAACATTGGATTTATGCATTACACATGACATACTGCATCCATCATATGTAGTATTGAAGTATTGTAGTACAAAGTTAAACTTCTTAACCTACACAAAAAAAATAAAAAAAATAAACTCAAGTGCAACACTGAAAACAGAATATATTTTTAGGTTCAGATTATTGTAATTGAACTGAATCAGTGTACATTGGCGCTATTTTTCTTCATGCTGTTGTATGCTTTGTATATTCTGGAAATCCTCCATGTCCAAAGAATGTAAATGAATGCTGTGACTTTAAACCACAAAGGTTTTTCATATTATATGACCAGATAAATTCCCTACCTGAGACACACCCGGTACTACTGCATCACTGTCACTAGATGGTGCACTAACTGCTAGATCATCGGTTGAAATAAGTTCTTGCCAACTGAACAACAAAGGATCGGTGACTTCTCCAAATGCATTGAAATCCACAACCAAAATGCCACCCTGCAATAGAAAGCAATCAGAATGATTTTGATACAAACATCAGTTATATTAGTCATCATTATTATATTCTGTGATTAGAATTTTATTTATTATGTAAAACCGGACATTTAACTAGATACTTCTTGACTGTGACTAATATAACATGACGGATATCACACAGTAAATGATCATCAGTTGTGCATGTCATAAATGACTACCTGCTAATAATAGTCTAAGTATGGCCCAACATAAGCTACCAGACCATAACTATTTTGAATCATATCCACAAGTGACAATGCTCCATTACAATACATTCATGTACACCAAGTTATGTGCCAAGTATGTAAGTCTGCGAAAGAGCCTAATCCACCAGTTGGCCATATTGAATC